CAGCAGCTGGCTGCACTTGATGCGTCCGATGCAGAGGAGTGCGTTCGACTTTGATAGAGTTACATGTGCAGAGCCCGAGAAGCTTCAGGAGTGGAAGAATCATCTTCGCTTCCTTCTCTGGGCTCTTCCATCCGCCTTCCGGCCAGAGACGAACGGAGACACCTCTGCTTCATTGCGTACGTGCCGCCTCGCACTTCGTTTCAACCTGGGAGTCGCCTCACTCTCTGTCCCCTTGTTCGTACAGAGGTGCCTCCACTGAGCGACATCAACCAAACCTGCGTCGACAAGCTCTTCCGCCATGTGGCCACCGCGGTCAATCACAGCCCGGAGATGAGCAACCACCTGATTGAAATACTCGCTGCCGGCACCCCGCTGAACAGAAGATGCAAGGACGCACCATCGGGCAGCAGTGTCGTTTTACCTCTCTGGAAGGACGCTCGAGTGCAATCGTACTGTGTCGAGCTGCTTCTTCGCCACTTGAGTGTCGCCTCAAGCGAAGCGAGCGAGCCACTGGAAAGCTCGGGCTCACTCGCTACTCGGCGTCTGTTCTGCCCAGCGGCAGCAGGACCTTCGTCGTACGATGAAGCCCTCTACACTCAGGTATCGAAATACCCTGCTATCATTGCTCGCTTGTGTATCTTGCGACCCAACTGATCAACCTCTGTATAGCAAGGCAATGTGGAGCTCCTGGCGCTCTTCGCCCGTTACTCGAGCACCGAAGATACCACCTCCGAGCTGGTGCGTCTCCTCAGCGACACCGTGAACGCTTGGCTCGGATACCACGCCGATCGTCAGATCCGGTATGGTCCCATTAGTCCACACGACAATACACTCTCGCGGGACTGATGTATTGTTTGTCCTGCAGGATCAATCCGGCCATACCACCTTCCACAAGGCTCGCTGCGGCAGTTATTATGGCCACGGTCGTGCGGCGCATGGGTACGTGTAATTTTATCGTGCAGCTCTTGGCACATCAGTACTAATACCCTCTTCACACCTAGGGACCGATACCGACGTAAGTCCCAGGGCCGAGGCCGTGCTCAGCTTCCTGGCGTCGTTGCTGTTCCGTACGCCATTGAAGCAGCGGCGATCAATGTCAACCTCCAAGTCCCCCCGCTCTTCGTATCGCGGCCTGCTTAACTTGATTACTCATTCGAGTGTTGAAGGCGGAGGAGGAAAGAAGGACGTCATCCAGCGCATCGAGGAGACCATCGAAAAGGAGTCGAGGGACGAGCAGCAGGAACGCAAGTCCGGCTCTGAACGGAAGACGAGCATTAGCGAGCCTTTTATGTGGGAGACCAGCGAACCGACCACCGAAGACGAGATCGCGGTGGAACTCGAGGTCATGAATGACGCGGCATGCCTCCTGGCTCTAGACGCAACAGAAGACTTTGTGGACGAGGTTCGTAACCCCAACTCTCTCTCTCTCTCCTCTGCATGAGCTAAAGTGAACGCGGCCTTCAGGTGGAGCTGTTTTTGGTTTCGTTCGTCCTGGCCCGCAAGGACATCAACCCACGAACCGCGTCCGCTCTCGTCGAGGGTCTTGTGCAAATGGGCAGATACTACCCATCGCGCATCGGCAGTTTTGCGCGCAACGCTCTGCAAAGCGACGTCTGCCATATGGTGGTGGGCACGAAGTCGCTATCGTCGTACCAGCAACGCCAACGGATGCAGACAGGTATGCTTGTGCTGATCTTCTTCTTCATGCCTAAGTGCCAACACATTATTGTTAGGTCGGTCCGAGGGCGTCATGGCGCTTCGTTTAGCCTATATCGAAGCCGTCGCTCGCAGCATCAACCTCCACGTGTTCCAAACTACTGCCACCGATTCGTTTGAGAATGTGTACGCTTGCTTGCCCCATGGAGCTTGGTTTATGGCGTATGTCTTACCGCTCACTTTGTGTATCAGCGTCTTGCTTTGCATCTTGGCCCTGCTTTCAGACGAGGAACAGTTCCAGCGACAAGGCAGCCTTCTCGCTGACCAGATCGAGGTGCGTCGTAGAATGTTGAAATGAAAAGAGAATCCAATCAACTGACCATTCTGTGATGCAGCTACACGTAGTTCAGCATAGCGAAACGGCCGACAACTATCTGGCGGACGTGTTCCCTGCTTCCAGCAACTTCGCCGAGTCCCTGGTGCGGGGGCGGGCGCAAAGATTCAGCGAACGCTTGGCCAAGGCGTACCCGACCCGCACCGCCGTTATGTTGAAGCAGGCCGCCTGCCAATGCATTCAGACTACTGGCTTCGACCGTGCTGCTCTGATCCTGGAGGTATGCACTTGACCGGCGCCCGGTTTCATGACCGCCCGTGCTAACTCGTGGTATGCCACCCAGTGTTTGGAGCCGTGGACGCGTAACTACGGCCCCCAGCTGCTCCGCGCTTCGGACGACGCTGCCCGCGAGAAAGTACAAGAGATCGTTCAAGTCCTGTTCAAGTACACCTCGCGATTCCCCCCTTGACGATTGTTTATTAAGCTGTAAGGGGATGAGCTTGTTGTTAACGTTGGGCATGCCACAGGCTCAGTCTGATGCTATGGTCCAACGGCAACCTCCGCTCGTGCCTTGAGCGGCTGTGGGTGGCGACCGTGTCGTCCGCCAACGCTTCGGTGAGCGTTCCCGCCCTGATGGACTACCTTGCGGGTCGGGTTCTGTCGGCCCTGCAACCAGAACGCGAGGCAACACTTGCTTTGGGCAAGAGTGTCTGTTCCTGTACGCCATCAAAACCCCTACGTACCGTGCGGTCATACTCACCACACATTTGAACACAGTCCTGGCGAAGGGAGAATGCCGCGCAGCACTGCTCGACAGCCTGATAAGCCGCCTACGCGACTACACCGCGTCGTCTTCATCCTTCTCCTATCTACGGAAAGAGGAGATCATCTTTTACTTCCTCATGGATGTCCCGCTGGTCGACACGATCGCCAGCGAGAGCCTCATCCTCAATCACCCGCATTTCGCTCTCACTCTCCAGAACGCCCTCGTCATCTTCGTCCGTAGCAATAGCAACGTCGATGCCGCTCGGCTGCCTCTCGGCAAGCGCTTCCTGCTCAACCTACTCTTTGCCGTTGCTAAGACCACATTGCCCGACTACGGCACAGCAGCGCCTGCGGATGACCGCGCCAGGGTGGTCGAGAACCTGCCGCCGGTCCCCTCTTCGCTCTACTCGTCGTCCTCGATCCGACTCTCTTCATCTTCCTTCTATGCGCATCTGGGCGCCGCGTCAACCAGCTTCAGCCGCTCGCCCTCGCCCTCGGCGTCGTTGGCTACCTCCATTTCATCACCGTCGGCTTCATCTACGAACATCGCCACATCACCCAAGCGCTTTAGCGCGGCCGCGCTTATGATTCGAGAAACCGGAACCGCGCTTCGCTCATCTCTAAGCGAGGCCAAATCGGCAGCAGCGGAGGCCGGCCACCACCGTCGACCCAGCAAGGGCGCCGACCGCGACAGCACAGAATCCACGATCGACGCCGCGACGCCGCAGTCGAGCTCTAAGAAGAAGTTCCTCCTCAACCTCAGGTCCCTCTCGCAGCGAAGCTGCAAGCAGAAGGAAGTCGACAAGGACAAGGGCAAAGGCAAGGCCAAGGAGAGGGACGAGGCGCACGAAAGCGATGAGCCTCCGTCGCCGCGGCGTCGAGGCCTGTTGACCAGCCGTGGCCGCAGCAAGAGCATCAAACAGCAGCGGTCAGCCAGGCAGCTCGAGCTTCAGCCAGCGCCAGTCGACGAGAATCCGCCTCCCATCCGCAGAGGCCGCTCGGCGACGCTGCCCGACAGCCTGCTAGTCTCGCCGCACATCACGACCCGCGGAGAGTCGGTCAACACCAGGCCCTGCTCTGCGCGCCCATCGCCGACAGCTAAGCCGCGAAGCGAGCGTGCCGTGTTCGTGGAGGCTGGCCCCAAGAAGACGCTGCAGGCGAGGGTCGACGAGATCAACCATGACCGCAAGGCATCGCCGACCATGGCAGAGCGATCCATCTCCCTATCGCTTTCTCGTGCCGGCCGCGCCCGCACGACGTTGGCTGTGCCCCTCTTCGCGCAAGGCGCGCGCAGCCGATCGAACGATCAGTGCTCCACGACTTCGTCTTCGTCTCCGCCGTCCTCGCCCAAGTCGCTCGCCTCATCGTCATCCTCGGTGTCGGCCAGGCTCTTCTCTCTTACCAGCTCTCCCTCGCAACGTCGACGCAGCAAAGGCAAGGCCAAGAAGCTCTTCCGGACCGCCAACATCAACGATGACTTCGATGCCGGAGGAGAACTGCCCGCACGCTCCCCTGGCAAAGACGCAAAGCACCACGCGGATTTGGCGTCGGTGCCTTGGGTTTCTGCCGCCGTACGGCCGCGGCACTACACGGAGCAACAGACCGTCGACGCAGCCGGAGACACGCAGCACTCGCCGCGTCGACCGACGATCTCGGGCTTGTCACCGCACTTCCGCTTCATCGACGAGATGATGGACGAGCTACGCGATCCGGCACCCGCCCACTCCCTTGCTGTCTCGCTCTCCCGCGTGGTTCCTCATCTGGCGCTCCTTACGTACGCTCCCCCGCCAGGCAGCATTCACTCGTCCAGCCACTCACCCGATTCCCGAAACGACAGACCTGAGCTACGGCACGATTGGACTCGTCTCTCCCTCGAGTGGGGACTCCGCGCGGAGGAGGCCGATATCGCCGTGGCCTCGCTGGAATTGTTCCATTTGCTGGGCGGGGCTGCCCACGTATCCGCGTCATCGGCGCCCGCCGACTTGCAACGCGTCGCCCATGCCCTCGTCTGCTCGCTCAACACCCACGCCCTGCGAGCCCATCAGCAACCTGGTGACACAGCAAACGCAGATCTCGTTGGCGTTGATACCTCCGCCAAGTCGCAGCTGCTCTTCGACGTTCTCCTGAAGCTCCTAGACAAGGTATGCACACACACACACACACACTACACGCGTCGCACGTGAGCCTGGCGTCTCACATGCGTACTCTTGATCAGTGTCCTTCGTCGGTGGCGCTTCGTGAGGGCTTTGCGATCAGTGTCGCGCTGATGCGGGTCGTGGGTGAGGGCCACCCGTTCCGCCTTCACGATCACGCCAACCACTACCGTGCCGGCCTCGCCCTGCTCACCGGACTGTGGAATCGACAGCCCATGACCTTCCTTCACTCCCTGCACGAGGTACCTTGCGGACCCAAGAAGACCCACATCAACTCCCCACCCGCTCACCACCCCCTTGCCCAGGCGCTGCCTTCGCTGTGCGGGCTCTGGGGCGTGACTAGAGACCTCGGGCTGATATTGTCCCCACCGCCGCTGGCCAAGTGTATCGTCTTCACTCTGACAGGCGCCTTGGGGCGACACCCGCACCTCCTCAAGGTGAGCTCGGACTCTGCTGCACTTTTACGCCTGGGAATTGATCTTCAAACTGATCAAAACGTCTTTACATGTGACTGCAGGATTCCCTCGCGGCGCTGAGGCTTCTGTTCCGCGTCTACCAGCACCAGTTTGCTGAGGCGGAGGAGTCAGACCGCAGCCTTAGCGTCGCGACGCAGTCGGTGCTGTGGCTCGACCTTGTCAACATCGTGTTCGAGTCATTTGAGTACTACTCGCCGGATCCCGTCGCGCAAGAAGCCAACAGCGACGGCCTGAAGCGCGAGATGTCGACAGACAGCGACCTCGTTTCGAGTGAAGACGAAGAGCAAGAAGAAGACCACGAACATCACCTTGGCGCCATCTGCGAGAGCACGCTCGAGATGGCGAGTAGGAGCAGCGACAGTGGCGACGGAAGGCGCCACAGGGACGTGCTGGCCACGTTACTCCGCAGTGGTGGCGCATACCGCATCAGGAAGAGGGCGCGGGACGAAGGGCTGCAGCGCGTCAAGCGGATCATCAGCGAAAGCATCGAATTCTACCTCAACCACATGCGGCCGCAGCAGCCGACCGCCCACGGATTTGACGCCTTCGAGCACATCTACGACCAATTCCTGGCAGCGCTACCGAGCGACCGTCACAGCAAAAACTCGTCGTACTCATCTTCGGCGTCATCATCATCGGAGGAGGACCAGAGTTCGCAGGCGGACGGCGACGTAACCGTCCTCAACGGCCTCATGCAGACCTTCATGCAATCCTTCTTCGCGACGTTCCCAGACCATCACGACTTTGCCTACGTGCTCGAGCTCTCGCTGCAGTTCCTGCGAGGCGCCGGCAAGCAGCCGGCGTGGATCGTGCCCACCCTCACTCTTCTCACACATCTCGTGCTGTACGTTTTCACTCACTCCGTTCTTCCCTCGTCGTGCTCCCTGATGATCATGCGCTCATCCTTCATTTAAACCTTTTTCTTTCTGACCAGCTGGACGAGTACGATCTCCGCCCCGAAGAGCTGAAGGATATCGGCGAGGCGGTGGTTCAGTGCTCCCTCTCTGCCGGGTCCTGGGTGGTAGGAGCCGCGGATCAGCTCCTGGCCATCGCGCTCGAACGGACCAAGCCCGCGCCTCCTCCCACGGTAATTCGATGCAACACGACGCACGACACACACGACACGACACGACACGACCAACGACACTACACATGATATACGAGTTTGACAATGGTCGTCTGGGACGCAGGTGTTCGATCTCCTGGGGTCGATGGCACTCCACAAGCGAGCCGCCGACTCCTCGCCGGCCATGACGCTGATGGGGCTCAGCGTGGAGGACGTGCCCGCTCTACTGAACCCGAATCTGGGCACCACCAGGAAGGAGAAGAGGAAGGCCGTCTTCTTGGCGTCGTCTTCGTCTCTGTCATCTTCTGCTTCACCATCGCCGCTGGCCGAGAAGCAGGCCTCCTTCGAAGGTGGCGAGTCCAGCACGCCAAGACGACCTCGGGTCCCGTCGCTCTCGCTGGGACTGTCGGCCATCGCCAGATTCGCCGAGGAGGAAGAGGAACGAAAGTTGCGACGGCTCCACGACCACCACCATCAGCAGCAACAGACCCAGAAGACGCAGGAGGAAGAAGACGGCGACAACAACAACAGCAAGGAGCCGATAGCGACAACTACGGCGACGGCGACGAGGAGCGGCAAGATGAACAAGATGAGGAACCTGACGAGCCTTCGGCTGCTCAAGCGAAAGAGCGTCAGAGGCGAATCAACAGCGAGCAACAAAGACAACAAGGAGAAGGAGAAGAAGAAGGAAAAGAAAAGAGAGAAGGCGATGAAGCGGAAAAAAGGCGAGGGGACCAGATCGGAGTTGATGATGCCGGGCGGCGCCTCGCCGAGAGCGGAGTGCGACGCCAAGGAGGCCGAGGACGACCGAAGCTTCCAGCGACGCCAACGCGGCCACACGCTGCCCGCCAACGCGCCACGCACGCTCGGCACCTCGAACTGACGCGACTGCCACATTAAAGAAGTAACGGTCCGCAAAAAAATTTTCCTTCCTGGTTGAGATCAATGGACTTTAGTGGCTCCGTCCTTCCCCTGTCCTGGTACGTGTTGAGGCCACCACCAATTCAGACTCAGCCATTATGGCTTTGGTCCACCGAGTTGGAGGTGGGTTGGCCCCGGACATCCTCGCGCCACCTGAGTCTGGTGACCTTCACGCTTTCTTCTCCGAGAGCATGGACAGACTTGATCCCGAGAAGGAACTCCTGCTGTGGTACGCCACGACCTCATTACGCTGGCCTCGTGAAGAAGAACTCTTGTTTTGAACTACCCCGCACCGGCGGACGTTCATTGCATTTGCTCGGTGTTTGCGTGCAGGGGTCGAGAGAGTGTGCCTCTCGACGGGAACTTGGCTCGGCATGTCTCCTCTCTCTATCGCAAAACATGCACAGGACTGTGTTGTGATAGTGCGCGGGTTCCTCCTTGCACTGCACGCAGTGGGACTTAGACAAAGGTGGACGGCCTGTGGACAAAGCGAAAACGCCCCTGATACGAGCGGGCGAGAGCTACAGCCGCAGGGTCGTGCATGTCCTGTGTCGCGCGCGGGCTCTACTCTCGGCGATGGGTAGCTGCACGGCACGGTCGACCTGAGTGCCGAATGTGTCAAACATATGATAATCCCGACGCGTGTTGTGGCGACCCGGGTTGCAGCGGCGAGTGCCCCGACGGCTGCAATGGGCTGGGCTACAAGGAGAGGGTGGACCTGAGATTCGCTTCGGTCGCCGTTCCTGCCGCTCACCAAGCGCAACATTAAACAACGTCTGCGCCAGTGCTGGATACAACCGCAAATAACGAAGACCCTCACTTCACGCTCTCGGACCCACTTATTGGCACCGGACTAGGCCTCCCCCCCCTTCAATTTCTTTGGCGCCAACGCCGCCGTCACCCCCTATGACGATTGAGGACGAGACCTAGAATGTGTTCTTATATTGTTGTTGGTTGTAACAGTTGGCTTGCTGGCAGACCACGATTGCATTGCAACCATCGGTGATCTACGGGTCGGTATATATGAGAAGTGTTTGCTCCCGAAGGAACATGTGCAGAGAAAGGCAAAGCATGATTTATTGAGGGAGAGTGGGGAATGGATACACATCACAAACTCCTGAGCACATTGATCTCCTCATCAGGTCCGCCACGGTGATGATCTGGTGGTGATCACTCGAGGATGGTACAACTGTTGGGGCAGCGACCGTGGGGCACGCACTGGTTGTCGGTGTTTCCTCTTCCGCACGAGCAGCACACGCGACCCCTCCCCGAGCAGTCCTGGCCGTTGTTGCACGGCGGAGGACCCCTCCTTCCTTCCTGCATGTCGTGACTATCAGTCTATTATGGTTCACTGAATGGTGCAGGCTGTGAGTGATGCCAGGCAGTGGAGTTGAGGTGTACCATGACATGTTCCTCATCAGCCAGGCCAAGCTGGAGACGACAAGCATGCCGAGCACAGCAAACGCGATGATCCACGCCTTGTTCATGTTTGGTGATAGAAGTTGGTTAGTTGGTTGGTTGGTTGGTTGGTTGGTTGGTTGGTTGGTTGGTTGGTTGGTTGGTTGGTTGGTTGGTTGGTTGGTTGGTTGGTTGGTTGGGATGTTTGGTTTGTTTGGTTGGGGATGACAGTCACACTGTACCACGCTCGTTTTTATACTTGTCCTGGTGGGCTGCCATTGGTCCCGCTTTGTGGCTGGTGCCGCTTGCTTGAGGGAGCGGCTGCCGTCACCACCAGCACTGGAGAAGCAAACCCTCTGGTACCATGCACCACAGGCACAACCACTCTGGACTTTTCTTGCGGTCACCCATCAACACAAAATGTAACGTGATGAATGTACGGCCTTGTGTGCGGCCTGGGACCTGGCGGAGGGGCCGACAAGGAGGAGATAGCGGAGGAGTGGGGCGGCGACGAGCACGTTGAGGCTGTTGCCCAGCTGCTGGCACTTCTGCCGCTCGCCCGTGCCTTCGGGGAACTCAAAGCTGTCCGGAACCCGTGCAGCCGCGCCACCTCCCGCGGGGTGATAAAGGTTAAAGTAAGAAAAACAATTTAAACAATTTTTTCAAAATCAAAAAAAAAGGAAAGTAAAGATGGATCGAATGGGGAAGACGAGTGCAGTGCCTCTGACGTGGTCGCGCACCGACGGCGGCCGGCCGTCGCCGGCTTTGCTACACGAAGACGATAATGGCGGCAATGAGGAGGTGCTGTGGCGCGATTGCTTGGAGGCCGCAGCGGCCAATTTTCTAGAGATTGATGCCCTACTCACCGAATTGGCGGCACTCACTTCCCCTTCCTCTCCCGCCTCTACAACATTTGCTTCTTCCTCTTCTCCATCTTCCGAGACCACCAAAATCGATCCGACCTCGTCTTCGTCCTCGTCTTCTTCCTCTGCTCTTCTATCTGCCGCTTCATCTTCATCTCTTACTTCCTCTTCATCATCATCTTCATCCACAACCACATCGGCGTGGACCGCGGCCACCTCGCCGCCCGGCAGCAGGAGCGGATCGAAGCGCAAGGCCGCCGCGGCCGCCAAGCGGCGGGCCTACCTCGACAGCGTCGCCGCAGCCACCGACGACGAACCCTTCATGCGCCGCCAGTCCGTCCGCTACGACGCGTCGGCCCTCCGCGCCCAGCTCCGCCTCTTGCCCGCCTCCGCCTCGGCCATCATCATCAGCTCCACCACCGGCGGCGGCGGCAGCGGCCACGTCAGCAACAACGGCGGCGGCCGTCGACCGGCATCGACTGTTTTCATCGAGGGCGACACCGACGGCGGGCAGGACGAGCTGGCCCTCGCCGCGCGCCACCAGGCCCAGGCCCAGCCGCAGCCGTTGAGGCGGCGAACGCCGATGACGACGACGCAGCCGATGGTGGGGCAGACGAGGCCACAGTCGCCGACGCAGGACCAGCAGCTGCTGCGGGAGGCGGAGACGGGCGACGTGCGTGCGGTGGCCAAGGCGGCCGAGCAGGGCGACGGCGAGGAGGAGCTGATGGGCGATGATGATGAGCAGGCCCTCGAGGGCCAGAGCCGAGGCGGCGGTGATGGCGACGATAACGCGGAGGAGGAGGAGGAGAAGCAGGAGAAGCAGGAGATTATGCGGGACCGGTACGGCTTTCCCTACGAGAACGCGCAGGAGCAGCAGGCCATCGCCCACCGCTACGCCCCGCTCATCGACGACCAGATCCGCGAATGGAAAGGTGCGGTACACGCGACACGCAGCGCGCGTGCGCACACACACGACACACCGCACGACACGCATGGCACACACACGGCGGCGCAGGCTGACTGTGTGTTGGTTCTCTGATGAGCAGCGTATCTGGCGAAGAACAAGAACCGGCTCAACAAGACGTCCCTCACGCTGAAGCTGCTCGTCCGGCGAGGCATCCCCGTCTCCATACGACGCGAGGTGCGCTGCTCCGTTGGCGTGCGCGTGCGCGTGCGGCGGTGCGTGTCGTGTCGTGTCGTGTCATACGCTGCGTGTTGTGCTGTCTGACGCGTCAGTTACATCAATTTCGCAGGCCTGGCTCGTGTGTTCGGGCGCTCGTCGCAAAATGCAGCAAAATCCCGGTGCGCAGCCCTACATTATTAATGCAAATATTATTTATTTATTTATTTTATGTATTGTATTATTACATGAATAATTATCGTTTTAATTAATTATGCCTTATTTTATTTTGTTATTGTCACGTACGTGGCAGGCTACTACTTGGAGCTGCTCCACAAGAAGGAGGTGGACACCACCTACATCGAACAGATCGAGCTCGTACGTACCTCCACTTTTCTGCGCGCCGTGCGTGTCGTGCGTGCGTATTGTGCGTGTCGTGCGGTTCGACGTTTGACGTTTGCTATTTGTGATGGCGGTGGTGGTGGTGAACAAAAAGGACGCGCCACGGACGTTTCCGCACCACCCCTACTTCGGGGAGGAGGGCCAGAGCAAGCTGAAGCGCGTGCTCGTGGCCTACAGCCGACGCAACCCCAAGTACGCATTTGGTTGTGTAGCGCTGCCGCTCGTGTGTCGTGTGTCGTGTGTCGTGTGTCGTGTGCGGTACTGATCGTGTGTCGTGTCACGCCAGGGTCGGGTACTGCCAGAGCATGAACTTCGTGACGGGGATGCTGCTGCTCTTCATGAAGGAGGAGGAGGCCTTCTGGATGCTCGTCACCATCATCGGTTCGCCCCCCCTCGCCCTCTTGCCTCCCACCTCCCGGCGCTGACCGGCCTTTCCCACACAAACACGCAGAGGAGCTTTTGCCCCAGGACTACTATGGGTACCGCACGCACCGCACACACCGCACACACCGCACACACCGCACACACCGCACACACCGCACACACCGCCACGGCAGCTGACATGCGCGCGTGGTGTTGTGTGGCGCAGGGAGAGCCTGGTGGGGGTGCAGGCCGACCAGCGGGTGCTGGACACGCTGCTGATGGAGAAGCTGCCGCACGTCGCCACCCACTTCGAGCGGCTGGGCTTCACCCTGCCCCTCATCACCACCCAGTGGTTCTCGTGCCTCTTCGTCAAGGACCTCGGCGCCGAGGTGCGTGCGGCGTGTGCGGCGTGTGCGGCGTGCGTGTGCGGCGAAGCACTTGTCTGATACGGCGTGTGCGGCGTGTGCGGTGCGTGCGGTGCATGCGGTAGTTGGCGCTGCGTGTGTGGGACTGCATGTTCAACGAGGGCAGCAAGATCCTGTTCCGGGTGTCGCTCGCGTTGATCAAGATCCACGCCCAGGAGCTCATCCAGACCACCGACTACCAGACCCTCTTCGTCACCATGAAGCGCATCACCAAGAGCACCTTCGACCCAGAGCACCTCATGAGGGTCCGCTCCCCGCACACCACCGCACGCACGCACGCGCACACACGACCGCACGCGCACACACACGCGATGTGCAGAGTTGACTGACACAAGGGGTGGTGCAGGTGATGTTTGATGGGCTGGGCGGGTTTCCGCGGAAGAAGGTGACGCAGCTGCGCAACCACTTCTACCCGGTGGTGGCGCAGGAGGTGGCGGCCCTCCAGCAGATGCGCGCCCAGCTGGCCGCCCAGACCGCGGCCCGCAAGCGCCTCACCGCCTCCGCCCTGCTCGCTGCCGGTCAATAATGAGCCATTACTGGTATTATTTTTATTTTATTTTATTTTTGCAGGAGCTGAACCAGTGCCAGGCGTCGGAGAAATTACCCAACTAAAGTTCAGTGAATCACCGCATTGGGCAAGAGACACTTTCAAAGTGACCACCAGTGGACACACAAAGATGGAAGACACCACGCAGGTGGAACACGCGGCTGCGGGGTTCGTCGTTCTCAGGTCGGCACTCGACGCCGAGCAGCAGAAGGAGCTCGCCCACATCGCGCTCACGGCGGGGTACAGACCCGAACGAGGCTTCTGGAAGAAGGACTCCAACGACGAAGCGGAAGCCGCAGGGTACCGGCTCAACGCGGCTTACACGCGAGGCCGCATCTACGACGCGATCGACACCTTCCCCGACCACGAGCGGCTGCTCTCGCTCTGCCACAACCTCGTGGCACGCGCGAGGAGGGTCGACCCGGCCCTCCCCGCCATGCAGCCCACGCACCTCCTGCTCCTGTGCTACACGTCGGCCCGGGGCATGGCCTGGCACGCCGACGCGGGCGAGAACGACGGCGACAACGACCACCCGATCGTGTCGTTCTCCATCGGCAATCGGTGCACCTTTGGCTACGAGGTCGTGGCGGGCGAACGAAAGTGCACGACGCTGGAGTCGGGCGACGTCGCCATCTGGGGTGGACCGCTGCGGCTGATGAAGCACAGCGTGAAGAAGGTCTTCTCGCACACGAGCCCGACGTTCCTGCACGACGTCGCGGTCCCCTCGGCGGTGGCGGTGGCCGACTCGTCGCCAACGTCGCCTCCGTTGTTGGACATGACCAACATACGGTTCAACTTCACCTTCCGCGACGCCCCGACCGTCGTCGGGCGAGAGAAGGACTTTGAGACATTCCAATCATACGCAAAATAAATAGAATATATACATAAAATATAAAAAAAATTTAACGATAATTTAAATTAATTGTTATGCGGGTGGAAGGCCCGCCTGGTGGGACGGGTGTAGAGTGACGACGAGGTACCCGCGGGCGCGACCCGACCAGCTGTCGACTCGACACAGCGACGGCACCAGATCGTGAACAGAGAGCCAGTGCGGGGTCGTTCGGTGGCTGTGCGTGTGCGTGTGCGGTGGGGCGTGTGCGTGTGCGCAATTGCGGGGTGAGGCGAACACAGAGGTCTGGGCACCACCGCGAAATGTAGAAGGCTTAGGCGCCAGGAAGAGGGAGGAGGAGGGGTACCTGGCCACGTCGAGCAGGAGAACCATCTGTCGCTGCGGGTGGTAGGCGGCCAACGGCGAGACGTGCCCTCCTCGGTGGTTCTCAAATTCGCGCCACAGGTTGACCACCACGCATTGCGTTCTATCGCGCGTGTTGTCAGTGCGTGGTTGGCATTGTTTGGTCGTGTGTGTGTGTTGTGTGTGTGTGTGTGTGTGTGTGTGTGTGTGTGTGTGTGTGTGTGTGTTGTGGTGTGTGTGTGTGTCGTGTCACGCGTGTGCGCACCTGGAAGAGAGCACGGCGGCAATGTCGTCCTTGAGCCACTGGGAGACCTCGAGTGGGTCCTCCGAACAGCGGAGCGTCACAGTGGCCCCGGCCAACTCGAACAGGCGCGCCACCTGCTTCAGGTGGAGGCCTGCCACACCAAAACCGACACATTAAAGCAAATAAAACGCATAATAATAATAATAATAATAGGTACATAAATGTTGCATATAAAGGTATGTCAGACTCAGAGAGGAAATAATAATAATAATAATAAATAATAATAATAAAACCGCGCACAGCCAGATCGGCCACCTTTGTGCATGTCCCTCTCACGTTTGTGGAGGTGCTTCATCACGATCTTGCTGAACAGGTCGTCTTGGGTCACCACGCGCTCTGGTGGTCGGCGTTGCTCTGTTCGTGTCGCCTCTTCTCCGTCGTAGTTGCCCGTGTGGTCATCATCATCGCCATTGCCATCACCATCACCGCTCCTGCGCCGCTTCTTCTTGGCCGGGTCCGCATCTTGGCTGCAGCCGGTTGGCGGCGGCGGAGACGAAGTGGGTGGAGATGCAGAGCGGAGGGCGTTGAGTACGACGGCGCACGAGGCCAGGGCGCAGAAGGAGCCCCGCTTCTGGCCCTCGAAGTGGGGCCGCAGCCACCCGTGCTGGCTCCACCCGGCCCGCTCTACTCGGCCGCCACAGAAATGGATGAGCCCAACAATCCATTGCCGGCGCAAGTAGCGGGGGGACAGAAAAAATGGAATGAATGGTGAGCTGGACACCTGACTCGAGCAACAGGCTCTGGCCGGACGGTTCGTGCAGCATCACGATCGCTCGGGCGTAGTGGAGGTCTGCAGACATGGATTGAGATGAAGATCTGCAGCAGATTGGCTGCAATGATTGAGGAAAAAAAGCGTTTGCACCTTTAGAATTTGGAAAACGACTAGGCGGGGTCCACCTCCACCCCTCATGGCCCTTCTTGTCTCCCTCCTGTTCCATTTGTCTGCCCTTCGGTCTCCATTTCACTCAAAAGCCCTTTTTTTTTTTAATCAAAATTTAATTTTGCATTGTCTATGGTCGGATTCGAACCTGGCGTGATCCAGTCGTGTCAGATTTCGGGTGACAGTGTCATTTCGGTGGCAATTCGCAAAGAACGAAATGGCATTGCTGTCAGGGAAAATGAAACGCGACATGACACGACAGGGCATTGGCCAACGTCTTCATTTTTTGTGCCGTTTTTCTTCTGCTTCATCCCTGTCCGTGTGCATCGCACGAGCTCTCTTTCCCCATTTCAAACGTCAAGCCGACCATCAACGAAGTTCTTGTGTCTCCTGAGAGGTGGCAGCAATCCATCAGCGTCAGCAACAGCAGCTCATCCGTCCATTCACCTCCGTCCATCGCCTCTTCGCGTCCTAACCTTGAACTTGTCACGAGCACAGCAACAAGCCAACGTTTAGAAGGAAAGGAAAAGAAAGACAAAGAATGAAGTTACATGGAGGATACTCGCTAGCGCCGCTAGGACACCAGCAGCTGCAGCAGCTTCAGCAGCAACACAACAACACCAGCAGCAGCAGTACCAACATCAACAGCAGCAGCTACAGCCATCCATGATGGCCCAGCAGTCGCAGGCAGACCAGCTCATCCACAACCACGCCCTCTTCCCCGAGGTCCTCGATGCCCTTCGCCGATGCGAGGTGGCCGGCCTGAACACAGCGTCGGCCGCGGAGTTGGGGCTGGCAGGGGGCGCACCCGCCCCCTCTTCATCCAACAACCTCCCCTCGTCGGCCCTGCCACCTCTCCCCTCACATTTCGGCGGAGATGGATCAGATCGATCCGATTCGACGGACGATTACGTATCAAGTACATCGAGCTGCAACGGCAGCACGCGGCGCAGCTCGAGAAGGTCTACGACCTCTGCGATCAATTCTCATCTCGCTACTTGACCCTGCTGAAGGAGGGTGCCCAGCGATTCACCACCACGGTCAACGCGGCCCAGGATGGCGGGGGCGGCAAGCGCAAGGGCGATGCGCTAGACAGTGAGGCCAACAAGAAGAGGCGGGGCAACCTGCCCAAGCGCGCCACCAACATCCTCAAGAAGTGGCTCTTCGAGCATCTCTTCCATCCCTACCCCAGCGAGGTGCCTTTTCCTTCCCTTCATCTCCATCTCTTCTTCTTGCTTCATCATTCACTACTCGCTAATATCGTAATCTGCAGAACTCTCAATTCTCCAAATTAACGATTCAATCTCCAACAATAGGAGCAAAAGCGTCAGCTCGCCAGCCAGACCGGGCTCACCATCAATCAGATCAGCAACTGGTTCATCAATGCCAGGCGAAGGATCCTGCAGCCCATGCTCGAGACCGTCCGCCAGCAGCAACAGCAGCTGGGCTACGGCGGCCAGGGCGAGGGGCGAGACCCCAACGACGCCATGCACCAGCTCGAGGGCGAGGACGACCTCCAGAACGAGTGGACCACCGGCGAGCGGGCCGGCGTGCCCATCTCCTCGATCGTGTGCGCCGACGACGGCGACAGAGCGGCGCGCGAGCGGATGGACGACGCCGCGCGCGGCATTGTGCAGTAGAGCTTAGAGAGGAGATGGAGGGGTGGATAGGGGAGGATGAGGTGGCACACAGGTGTGTTGAATGCTCACCAAAGTTATGGCCTATGCCAATGTAAATAACACACCACAACACACAACATGGCCTACACACAGTGTCCCGCATACCTTGCATACCTTGCATTCCGCCTGGAAGCAGACGAAGATGAAGGTGAAGAAGTAGTGTCGAACACCACTAGTGTTGCTGGCGGGCGGCGACGATGGCCTGCAGGTGGCGCGATCGCTTGAGCACGAGGGCGGGCATGTCCTTGCACTTGAGGGCCTCCTCCCACGACAGCCGCGCCTGGCCCGTCTCGGTCGCGCCCACCACCGCCCGAGTACGATCGGGCTGGACGAGCGAGGCCACCACGGCGAGGGACAGGCGCAGCGACTCCTCGGGCGTACTCGCCACCGGGAACACTCTGTCGTCATGGATGACCCGCCCACACCGTTTAGTTCGCGCCTCGTGTGTGTGTGGGGAAACTGGGCGCATACCTCGCATTCCAGACGCTGCAGTGCTGCTCGCCCGGCGGCCAGAGCGTGGTGGCGTCGGCGAGGCCTAGCTGCGCGGCCACGGTGCCCAGCGGCACGCCGCGAAGCTGCAGCGAGGCGGCGGCCTGGGCCGGCGTGGCGGCGGTCTTCTTGAAGTCGTCGTTGATGCCGAAGAAGGAGGTGATCCACCCCTTTGTCGGCTGCGTCGCCGCGTCGGCCGCGGGCAGCTGGCAGGGCAGCGTCTGCATGATCAAGTCGCCGGGGATATGCACCTCGGTGGCCTCATCGGCCTGCAGGTCACTGGGAAGAAAAGAAAAGAAAAAGCGGAACATTAAGCGAGCGCGACACGTCAGCACGCGAAGGCACGTGGCGCAGTACTTGAGGATGCAGCGGCTGCCGACGGTGGATTGGGTGCGAGGGAGGCGGCAGTACTCGACCACCGACATCTCGCTCACGCGCACGTCGTCGCCGAAGATGCAGTGCAGCGTGCTGCACCCGCCCCTCGTGCTCTCACTAACCACGACGCAACACATGCATTCAGCATTGCGTGTGCGTGTGCGTGTGTTTGTGTGCGATGCGAGTGCGCGCTACCTGGGGAGGCCAGCGTTGAAGACGTGGCGACTGAAGCCCAGCTTGGGTAGGTTGACGCAGAAGTGGTCTTTAGAGAGTCAGACGGCGAGGGTCAGAGGGGTGGCAAGTCGGAGGCGAAGAACGAAGAGCGAAGCAAAGAGCAAAGAGCAAAGAGCGAAGAGCGAAGAGGGGGCGAACCGAGGTACTCCTGGCAGGTGCCGATGTGGATGAAGAGGGACGGGATGAACGGGATGACGTTCAGCTGAGTGCCCTTGAGCAGCTCATAGAGCTGCCTGCGCACGGTGGCCAGAGAGTCGGTGACCACGCTCACATTCCTCGTGTTCGTGAGATAGCTGTCTTCGGCCTCGCTTCCCAGAGGCTGACATGACACGCACGACACGCACGACACGCACGACACACACACACACACACACACACACACACACACACACACACACACACACACACGCACACGACACACACACACACAAACGCGCGCGCCGCACACGCACGAGGTTAGCTAAGAGTGTGCGGGCCAGGAAGAGACACGGGCGCGCGTACCTGCATGAAGTCGCCATAGGCGTCGATCTCGCAGCGCAGGGGTTTGACGCTTCGGTAGTACTGCAGCAGCGACTTGGCCACATTCGTGTCGAAGAAAAAGTTGCTGTCCACCATCACCTGTACTTACAAACAAAATAAGAATGAAATAATTAAAAAAAGCGATTAATCGAAACAATATTAATATAAGTAAATAATTAATAAAAATGATTTTGCACCTGTTGGTTGGACAGGAAGGCGCCGGCCTGCTTCATGAGCTCCATGGACGGCTTGTGCAGGAAGCGGCGGCAGGAGTGCACGGGGAGGAGGCTGGCGGCGTCATCATCAGAGCTGGGCGTGAGGCTCTTGGAGGACACCTCATCGGAGAGGTTCTTCTCCAGCACGAACACGCCGTGGGTGAGGCCGATCTCGGCCTCGGCCGGGTGCGACATCGCGGTGAAGCCCGCGTTGTGGAAATTGCAGCCTGTAACCGGCCACCAATCACAAGTCAGCGAGCTTGCAACACATTCCAATATATATATGTATATGTATATATAATATCATGCGGTGACGTGCTGTCGACATCTGTGACACCAGGGCAGTTGCGTAAAAGAGTATACTCTTTAAAACAAGTTACCTGTGGACTCGAAGAGTTCGATGTCGTCGGCGCAGGAGATGAACACGCCCGACTTCATGTTGCGCGGGAAGTCGATGAACATCACAAACTTGAGTTCCAGCATGGAGCACCCCGGACCGCCCTCCACTGTCAACGACCAGGGCCGACAATGGTGAGCTCATGCGTCGCACGACACAATGGCGCACGACACGACGGCACACACGACGACACGCACCAAGGGAATAGGGCACGGAGGCGAAGATCTTGCCGGTGGCGCTGTGGTTGGGGAGTCGCTTGCTGTAGCCGCCCGCGTGGATGATCAGGACCTTCACTACAACCGGACGAGAACCAACATTTAAGTGAATAAAAAAACAAATAGATAATTAATAAATAATAACAAATGCAGGCGTGCAATGGCAAGAGTGGTGAGGGAGCCCGGGTACGCTGATAGAGCTGAGGGCCGTAGAGCTCGTCGAGCAGGTGGAGCACGTGCATGGTCGAACCGCCGCAGCCGATCTTGTCGCCCGGCGGATCCTCGACCACGAGGTACCTGGACGTGCAGGTACCAACAGAAGATTGTTAGAGGCGAACACGACACGCAACACACGCGACAACACACGCGACGCACGACGCACGACACACGACACACGACACACAGACGGGTACTCACTTGACGTGGGAGGGGATGGAGCCCTGCTGCCGCCTTTCGTCGAGCTGGCACTCGTAGAAGCGCTTCTGGTCCTGGTCCGCAGCCGTCACCACAACCACCTCCCAAAAGTCTGTGGGCCACCACCATGAGCACATAAGCTTACGGTTGATTAATCAAATCAATCCACACTTCGACAAAACAACACACCTTGCGGTGGGGCATGAGCGGCCTCGGCGATGACAGCCAAGTAGTCGGTCGTCTTGCGGCGCTGGATGGCAGCAAAATCGAGTGCTGCGCAGCTGCTTGCCTCCATCACATGAAGAACAAAAAGAAAAGAAACAGAAAAGAAATTCTTTTCTATTCTAATTGTTTGCGCAAACAGTCCAGGCATGCGCCAGTCGTCTGTGTCGGTACGCATCGCCTGCGATGGCGTCGAACACGCTTTGTGCCTGGACAAGGATGTAGACCCCGCCCTTTTGCAGGTACACCCCTTTTGTTTATAATTTTTTTTAATTGTTAACAAAATAACAATAAAATTGCACCCAATGAAGCACAAGCTGCGTGGCCAGTTCGGTCTGCCGCTGGCGCTCGAACCGATGGGGCTCCTCCTTGCGCCCGACCCCGCGGGCCCGTTCTGTTCTTCGCCGACCTGCCCAACTGCGATCTCTCCGCCACACTTCACAGCGATCGCCTGTACGAGCTCGTTCTACGCGAAGCACGTACGCCCTCAACACGCAACACGCAACACGCAACACGCAACACGCAACACGCAACACGCAACACGCAACACGCAACACGCAACACGCAACACGCAACACGCAACACGCAACACTTG